TGGCCTGGAGGTAGGCAGGTAAACAGGGCAAGAAAGCAAATTATATTATATATATATATATAGTGGTAACTAAGATTTCAAACTGAAAAAATTATGTTCAGCAAGACATTGTTAAGAACATCAAAAAGCAAGCTACGGACTAGGAGCAAACATTGGCAAAAGACTTGTGTCTAGAATACTTACTACAATGGAATAAAAGTGTCAACCCAATTTTTTTAATGGGCAAGGCTAAAGCAGGCACTTCACAGAGAAAAATACATGGACCAATAATCACATAAAATATGTTCAACATCATAAGTCATCAGGGAACTGCAAACTAAAACCACAATTAGATACAACTACATGCCCGTTACAATGACAAAATTTTAAAAGACTGACAATACTACATATGGAAATGAAGTGGAGTAACTGGTCCTGTCATATATTACTGGTGGGAATGAACAATGGTATACCACATTGGAAAAGTTTTAACTACTTTATATCATATTGTTAAAATGTACCCCAGAAACAGACAAAATGGACTCCCTGTGGCTAAAATGAGACACACAGTTACACACACAAACACACACACACACACACACACACACACACAGAAACACCGAGACTCTCAGGGATAGCAGGATGGAGGAATAGTTGTGTCTCCCAGTGTTATTAATTTCCAGGAAGTTGCTGTCCTTTAATTAAGCAGAAACCAGGTCCTGAAAAGCACTGTTGAAACAACTACAGGTGGAAATTTCCCAACTAACCTTGATAGACCACCAGACACCAACCTACAACCTCCTGCTCTTACCTTGCAGCCCTCCACGACTGGTCTTATCAACATTCTTTATTCATAAATAGCCACAGATCTTAAGCCAGTTTCAGCCAACTTGTGGAGACAGTGCACAAATTGTCTTTGCGCCCTATAGTTCACCTTGGACAGAAAGAATCCAATTCCACATCATTTTAATGCTAAAACCCCACCCAAAAGGATTATATTCATATTTACATATATGTTACGTATATGTTTACTCACTGCACTCACACCTCTCACACTTGACTTCCCTTGTGGATAGTCTTAGAATTTTCCCCGACATGTACGTTAGGCTGTCTGTAAGACATGTACCCTAGCGCCTGACCTCCATCTGAAGAGCTGCACTTCTGGATTTTCCCCAGAAGCTGTATTCCCTGATTCTCTAATTGTTTCTCCCTCTGAAAACAGTCTTCTCTTTTCCTTCCTCTGTGGGTTTCATGATCATTTGATAATAATATATATACAAAGTTAAATATACACCTACCCCTTAACCTGGTAAGTCTACTCTTTTTTATTTAAGAGAAATGAATTATATATATATATTCACAATGATTTGTTTATAGAAACTTAATTCACAATAGTCAATAAGTGGAAAATACAAAAACTCATGACAGTGAATGGATAAACAAATTGAGCTATGTTCATGCAATCAAATCCTACTTAACAATACAAGGGAATGAACTGCTGCTACCCACAGCAACATGGATGAATCTCATAGACATTTTGTCGAGTGGGAGAAGCCAGTTACAAAACAGTACATATTGTATATTTCCATTTATAATTATATATTATATTCTAGAAAAGACAAAATAAACAGGGAAAAAGACCATCACAGTGGTTGCCAGATTTTGGGGGGTCAAGGATTGACAGGAAAGGTACACAAAAGAAACTTTTGGGGAGGCTGAGACTGCGATGAGGGTGAGGGTTCCATAGGTGTATCCTTTTGTCAAAATCGTAGTTAAGAATTTTGCATTTAAATGTATGTAAATTTTATTTTAAAAAGAACTATAATAAAAAGCACAGTATTTAATTGGGGGTAGGAAGTGTCTGGCAGTGTAGATTATACAAGAATGGCAAAAAGTTGGTAATTGCCAAAGCTGGATGATGGTTACATGGGGTTCATTACAACCATGTAATGTTCTGTGACTTCCATAATAAAAAAATGAAAAGGTATAGTCCTTGCTTTCTCCACACTATAGGACTCTAAGAAGGATAACCAAGGGAAATTAAATTATAAAAATAGGTTTCAGTCCGGAGCTACCTGTGACTGTGTAGGTATGTTTGTCTTGTGCTGGAATTTGGTTTTAGGAATTCCACCTGCCTCCAGATAAACCTACCTTCCTCAATATCAACTTGAACAGGAATAAAGGTGATCACTTGCTCTTCATCTGCCTGATTCTTGTGTCCTCTTTTTCAATTGTTTCAGAAAGCAGTTGGGAGAGAAGGATTACTGGGCCTGTTCAGTTTCCTTACAGTCTTACCACTTCTGCCTCGTGGATTGACCTTAGCATTGCCAGGGAGCTTCATCTTGTCAATATTGTGCCTCCTGAGATGGGGAAGGGCTTCTCCTCAGCAGTGTTGCAATTACTCATGAGGATTCTCTAAAAGGTAGTTTTGTTTTCCCATTTTTTTTTTTTAGCCTCCTTCATCAAAACCTTGCAGCCAACGCCCTTTGATCTGATCAGAGGACATCTGGGAGAACCAGCACAGACAGCATCACATTCAAGAGCATCTTCCTCCCCTGCCAATCAACAAGTGTCCTGGGGCTGCTAACCTCTGGGTGAGTTCTTTGCTATTGGGCACTCCTAGAGGCACACAATGATCTCTCTTTCAGCTGAGTCTTCTTAACCCAGGTACTCTAAGGCCCAACCACTTGTCTGGAGGTCCTCTTGATCATTTCTCCCAGAGTTTAAATACGTTAAGTCTTTATGCAAATAAGCCTCCAAATAGCCCATCCCAGAAGGCCAGAATTTCTTTTTTTTTTTTGAGACAGAGTCTCACTTTGTTGCCCAGGCTAGAGTGAGTGTCGTGGCGTCAGCCTAGCTCACAGCAACCTCAAACTCCTGGGCTCCAGCTATCCTCCTGCCTCAGCCTCCCGAGTAGCTGGGACGACAGGCATGCACCACCATGCCTGGCTAATTTTTTCTATATATATTAGTTGGCCAATTAATTTCTTTCTATTTATAGTAGAGATGGGGTCTCAATCTTGGTCAGACTGGTTTCGAACTCCTGACCTGGAGCAATCCGCCCACCTCGGCCTCCCAGAGTGCTAGGATTACAGGCGTGAGCCACCACGCCCGGCCCAGAATTTCTTAACTGAATATTTAGATTAGGCTTCCTCAGTGTTAAGAGTTTTAAGTCTGTAAGAAATGGACTCTCTCAGCCAAAACACTATGTCAGAGAGGTTGGGTGACGGGTGAGGAACTCCAGCTGGGAAGTAGCACAAGAGAACTAGAATGTGGATGTACTGACTTCCCAATCCATGATTAAAAGGCTTATCTATAAAGATATGCTGTAACTAAGGCATCTTTTGCTTGAAAGCAAGAAACCTGATGCAAATTATTTTAAGCCACTTGGCTTAATCCCAAATGGAATTTATTGGAAGCATCTTGAGGTAGTTCACCAAACCAAAGGAGAAAATGCCAGAATTAAGGAGGCACTGAAAATTTCAGGGACTAGAATTGTGGACACAAATGCAATTGAAAACCTTTCTTTCTCTCATTTTTAAAAATTTTCTTTTAGGTAGTTCACCAAATATTTCATAATAATAATAAATTTCATGTTAATAAATATTGCAGATGTGTTTTAAAACTAGAGAATGAGAAATAAAAAAAAAAAAAAAATCCTAAACCCTCCAGTGGAATGAATGGACTCCCACTTGGCCAAGGGGGCCCCAGAGAAACCTTAAAATCCCAGACATGGTGGGATGGGAGATCAGACGTCCCCCTTCCTAACTAGTCACCCTTACACTTTCTTCCCTAAGGGTTAAACATAACCAGCCCCTTAGAAAAGGACTTGCCCCATGGCTGATGTCAACCAACCATCCAAAGCTACTTCTCCCTTTTTTGGTTTCGGTTTGGACAAGACTAACCACCACTCCATCCTGATAAGATACCACTGCCCATGGGGTTGTTCTGACCAGTCTACGAAGGCTGTGCACAGAGGATTGTCAGGTCCTCTGCTTCACCTTTTGATATCAGAGGGCTGAAAACTCGACCCTGGGATCATGCTAACACCACCATTTTTTGAACACGGGACCCATGAATCAGCATGAAGCTCAATGGTGCATGCATATGTTTCTTTTTTCATGAGTATTCATGACTCCTCCTATAGCTTATTAAATATGTATATTCAACCACTCAGCTCAGCATAAATTCCTGTCCCCCTCACCCCTCTCTCGAAGGGAAGCACTTGTTCTTGATTTCTGCCCAAGGCTATGCTTCCCAGCCCGCAAGGCCAACCTGCAGGCTGCAGCCCTTCATGAGAAATAAAACTCTCCTTTCCAAATTTATGAACCTCATCATATTTCAGCTGACAAGAGGATTCATGATTATTCTTATAAGCTCATCAGAATTACTTATATTTATATTGTAGTGCACAGAATTTTTCTTCTTCTTCCTTTTTCCTTGTATTATACTTAGAAAATTTACCATTAAAAAAACACTTCAAAAGGCAATTCCTTGATGCTTACTTGAACATTCTTCCTGAAGCAAGTTATCACATTTATCTCAGACTGCCTTGCATGGGTGTGTTTATGCATCAGGTTCCCCCACCTGACAGCCTCCCTTCCAGCTTCAGAGAGGCCACGCCTCTTGAGTGTCACTGCATTTTGTTCTCATGCTCACCAGCTAAGAAGCTTACATTGAACTTCACTTTCTGTTGTCTATATTAAGAAAACAACCGGTATTTGGCCAGGCGTGGTGGCTCACACCTGTAATCCTAGCACTCTGGGAGGCCGAGGTGGGAGGATCGCTCGAGGTCAGGAGTTCGAAACCAACCTGAGCAAGAGAGAGATCCTGTCTCTACTAAAAATAGAAAGAAATTAATTGGCAAACTAAAAAACACATAGAAAAAAATTAGCCAGGCATGGTGTTGCATGCCTGTAGCCCCAGCTACTCGGGAGACTGAGGCAGGAGGATCGCTTGAGCCCAGGAGTTTGAGGTTGCTGTGAGCTAGGCTGATGCCACTGCACTCTATCCCGGTCAACAGAGTGAGACTCTGTCTCAAAAAAAAGAAAAAGAAAAAGAAAAAGGAGAAAACAACCGGTATTTCTTCATATACACCCTGCCCCACCAAACCACCACGCTCTCACTATTGGGAAAGACAGTCACGGGCAGCTCATTCAACCACTGCAGGCTACATAAAAATGCACCTTGGCCTGGAATATTGATGGAGATAAGGTCCCCTCCTGGCCTGTGCTGGGAGAATCTTTCCCTGTTCCCAGCTTGATGTGTACTTCTTCATTCTGCTTAAGGCACGTGTGGCATATGGCACCTGGCCAACCCCTCTGCCAGGGAGGGGAGGAAGTAGGGTCCTTCGTCTGTAGCCCAAGAGGGGTGCATGCAGACCATCTCCCTGCATCATCTGCAGGATGGAACCTGCTGGCCTTGGGGGACCCTTGCTTACCATTAAAGCTGGTCTTGTTCTGTCTCTTCTCTGTGTGAGTAAAGCCCTATTCCATCCAGTACTTACGTGAGTCATGTCTTTCTTGGCAATCTTAACACCTGCAAACCAAGCAGTGAGTTGACATCTGGCTACTGCTGCTCCTGGTGGCAGGCACTGTTATGCTCTTTCCTATCCTCCTACAGTGGGTCTCTCCCCTATAGGTGATGACAGGTGTCATTTGCTCAACAGAAGAGAATGTTAGGAGTGTGTGGGCTATGCCTTCCCCCCGTATCACCTGAGAATAGCTTATCTATAGAACATACTTATTATTTTAATCCCTCACCATTCCTAACCCATAACAGATGCCCAATGCATGTTTACTGAACCAAATTGGCCTGTAATAAACACCACCTTAAAGATCCAGTAGTTGGCCTGTAAACCCAGCACTTAGAGAGGTCAAGGTGGGAGGATGGCTTGAGGCCAGGAGTTCCCTCCCATTGTTTCAAGGAAAAAACTCAAAGGGCCAAGTAGTTAGTTAAGGGAGGGGATTATAAAAAACATCTATGGGTTCATGGAGCGGTTACAGTAGCATATTCAGAAACCAGACTGGTGGGCTTGACATCTGTAGTTAAGACGATAGAATCAATCAATGGCCTGCAATCCTTACTTGCTCTTCCAGTAGATTAAAATGAAGGGATCTGAAAATGCCTGGGGGTAGCGTGGAGCCTACATTTATTGATAGATCCAGGCTGTCGGGTACATGAAAGGAAAATACATGCCTCAGGCTTTGTTATGTGGCTACAGTGGGAGTTATGCCCATAAAGCCCCCGTTTTCTAACTCAGAACTGTCTTCCTTGTTCCTCCCACAGATGCACGTCTTACTCTACAGAACAAATCCTGGAGTCCCTGTATAAATGCATTGCTAGAGATTTCTACAGGAAGAAGACCAAAAAGAGCTGTTTTCCTCGCTCAGTGCAGATGTCAGTCAGCACCCAAGCATTCGTGGAATGTGACGGAAATTGCATATACAGAAAAGTAGGCTGTTAGTGTATTAGCAAGGGTGACCTATTCTTTTAGGCTATTCAGAGAAATCACTGTCATTTGCAGTGATTTTAGTCAACTGCTCTCTCCATCATTTTGTGTAATTAGGGACAGCCATTTTCTCAAGGGTGGCAAAACATCAGGCTTTTTTGCAACCACCCCCCCCCCTCCAGAGAACAGCTCCATTTCTGTAGCCTTCAGAACATTAATGGTCTTTGAGCAGAACAAGTCACTGAGGCAGCAGCAGTGTCAACACGGAACATGAGGGTAACCAGGCAGAGACAGGCACAGCTGACATATGCCATCAGCTCCCTGGGCAGAGGAGGGATGAGTGACAGGGCTGTTTGCTGAATGTCCTACCTGCCCATCACCTGGCGCCAAAATGCCCCTTTGGATAACGGCCTCTCATTTTTTTTTTTTCCTCCAGAGATCAGAGCCCCGAAGGACTCCAAAGCTTGTGTCTTTTAACATGTCAGAGGAGAAAGTGATAAAATAAAATTTCCCTGCCACAGGAGGTGGGAGGGGATTTAAATGTGTAATTGTTTTCAGCAGTTGCTTTGTTCTAGCATTACCCTTTTATCTACTGCTCTGAGAAATGACTTCATTTAGCCAAACTCTTCCCCTCCTGCCTCCACCGGGCTCTCTCAAAGCAAGAGCCACACGGCTCCGCTTCATTAGCGTCTTTGTTTGTGTACCAGCGTCATTGATGGTATCGGTTATAGCTCTGGGAGAATGGTTTGTTCATACATTAGCCATCATTAGGAACAAACAGCAAACAGCTTCTCTCAGGAGCAAAGCCTGTTCCCTGAGCTGACACTTAGAGCCTAAGAAATGGGTCTCCTTCCAGGTACTGCTCCTGCCTGGTACCTGAGCTCTGTTTCTCACTCAAGCTGGTGTATTCTCCTGAGTTTAGACAACTAATCCCCTGTACGAGTGCAGAGAGAGCTGTTGTTTCATCAGACTCACAGACAGTATCCTTGCCACTGCCAGTACCCAGGAAGTCCCAGAGTCTTCATTTTTTCGTGCTTTCTAGCTGTTTCAATGTGGTCGTTGAGTCATGGATGATCTTATTTGTGGCATGTTGAGGCTAAGTGAAGTCTTGGCTCTCGACGTTCCAGCTTATACAGATACGCTTTTAAAAAGAACAAGAACACATACGTTAAAAAAAAAAAAAAACTTGTTGTAGATCCACTATCTAATAAATGATGGGTTTTTGACGATAAAAATCAAACCATTGTATTGCTAACATCAGAGAGATATGATGAAGAACAGTTCCAATAACGGTTACTTTCTCAAGTGAATTTCCTGTGGTTGGTTTTATTTATCTAAGTGCTGAAAGATCTACTTCCGAGGAGTTATAGACTGTGTATGTGGCGTAAATGAATTAAACCCTTCAGCGGATTCATTTTCCCAGTCACCTAACGGTCACAAAGCCAAGCAATCTATCGATTACTGAATTTTCAATACTTTTTACCAACTAACTTTATGGTTGATTGATTTCTTAGGCCAAGGCGATCAATAAAATAAAAAGGACTCTAAAACAGTAGATTCCAGGAAGCACACACAGATATGACCAAAAATCTTACTTCTTATCTTTCCAGCTTATCTTTGATCATATGTGAATGATGATATACACTTTATCTGTGATCCGAACTTTCCTGTTATTAAATGACCAGAAGGGGCTGGGCGTGGTGGCTCATGCCTGTAATTCTAGCACTTGGGAGGCCGCGGTGGGCGGATTGCTCAAGGTCAGGAGTTCAAAACCAGCCTGAGCAAGAGCAGGATCCCATCTCTACTATAAATAGAAAGAAAATTAATTGGCCAACTAATATATATAGAAAAAAATTAGCTGGGCAGGGTGGCGCACGCCTGTAGTCCCAGCTACTCTGGAGGCTGAGGCAGCAGGATTGCTTGCGCCCAGGAATTTGAGGTTGCTGTGAGCTAGGCTGATGCCATGCCACTCACTCTAGCCTGGGCAACAAAGCGAGACTCTGTCTCAAAAATAAATAAATAAATATCCAGAAGGATTAGCCATATATGTGTGTATATATATATATATATTTTTTTTTTTTGGTCTGATGTCTCATGTAAAACGTATCATGGACAACAATGATAGAAGCAAATCTTCCCTCTGCCAACAAACCATATCTGCCCTTCCTTACGTGAATTCTTCCTTACATGTGATCCAAGTGGAAAATCACCCTACTGTGCTGACAGCTTGCAGGCCAATGTGCGAGGTTCCTTCGGGAGCAACTCCCAGGCCCCAGGGAAAATCCCAGGGCTATACAGAACTCTGCGAGTTACCAGTTGCTGGAACAGCTCTCCTCCCCATGGGGAGGCTGGTAGTTGGGGCCAAGCAATGTTTGTGTTCTCTGCCACAGTGTCACAGATTTAACCTGAGGTGCCTGTGATATCTGCCATAAACGTGCAGGTTTGTCCCTGCAAAGCTTGATTTCCTGAGGTTATCTGGCTCATTCTGGATGTGATGTCTACAATTCAGCTAAGCTACCATGGGCAAAAAAATAGTCCAGGCCAGAGGTTAGCAAATTCTTTATGTCAAGGGAAAGCATAGTAAATATTTTCAGCTTTGTGGGACATAGCAATTTCTCTTGCAAATGCTCAGTTCTGTCAATCTGCACAAAAGTGGCTATCAGCAATACATAGAAGAATAAGCGTGGTTGTGTTGAAATTAATTTTATTTAGAAAAACAAGCAGTGAGCTAGATTTGGCCTGTGGGCCACAGTTTGCCAACCCACTCTCTCTCGAGTTGTCGTAAATGTTTTTTGATTGTACATGCTGTCAGTTTAAACAAAACCAAACAAAACATGAACATACGTATAAACTCACAACACTTTTAAGTACATACCCCAATACTGTAAATGTTTATTTATGTATAAATTATATACAAGAACAAATGTGTTAATATATTGTTTTCATTATAAAACATACACAAAAATGGAACCTTTAAAAAATGAGACATAGATGAGTAATGCTTTCAAGTATAAATTTGATTGTTGTGAGTTCATACTATCATTGCCCAAGATCTAAAACACGATATATACCGAGAGCTAGGTTCACAGTCAATGGCAGTGGATTTCAATCCATAATTCAAATAGTCTTCTTGATAACTTAAAATACAATTTTGGGGTTTTATTTGACCTAAATAGATCTTTGTTTTTTGTCTTATATTGTCACTAGCAAAGAATTCGACTATTTATTATAATATTATAACAAACTTCTATTATTTGCTCTACGTTTGGCACAATCAAAAACATTACCTTATTTTACATGAGGAATGGCCTCATGTCCTATCATATTATACTATGTCCCCAATACAATACTGATCTTCTTTATAGTAATAAACATAATAAGGACTAATCTATATTAACTATGATTACTGATTAGCATTATATTAAAATAAGCTAAACTACAAAGGTAGAGTCAGATGCTATTACACTAATCTTCAGCAGTTATTAATCATTTTGTTAACTTAATACCCTGCTCCTCTTTTCTGGACTTAGTGAGGAAATAATCTTCAAAGCCCTGGACTTGAGCACTGGACAGCAGAGTATCTTGTTGCGAAATGGCCCACCGAGCAGGGTTACTCCTGCTTTGAATCTCTCAGCTTGCGGGCTGGTGCTGAATGCTGTCTACAGCAGTGGTTCTCACACTCATCTATCTGCACATCAGAATCACATGGTGGGCTTGTTATAACACAGGTGGCTTAGGGCCCTGGCCTAGAGTTTCCTGTGGGATGGGTCTGGGGCAGGGCCCAAGAATTTGCTTTTCTAACATGCTCCCAGGTGATGGTGCCACTGCTGGATAGGGGCCACACTTTGAGAATCACTGCTCTAGATACCCGTGTTTCCCTGAAAATAAGACCTTCCCATAAAATAAGCCCTAGTAGGATTTCTAAGCATTTGTGCAATAGAAGCCCTACCACGAAAATAAGACCTAGTGATGGGCGTGGCTATGCAGCGTATCTGCACAACCCATGCATTTCGTCGTGGTAAAGAAGATGAGCAGCTCTTCTCATCTGCCCCATGAGAGCTCTATTGCTCCACATGAGAGATTAGAGCCAATGGTTCTAAAGGAAATCGAGTCGCAAGAAATTCAGGATGGAATTCGGGGTTTGGAGAGTTATGATGATGTTCCAGAACAAGACGACTTAACTATACTTAAATAAATGTAGATTGTTGTACCGTACTTAAAAAAAAAAATAACACATCCCCTGAAAATAAGCCCTAGGGTGTCTTCTTGAGGAAAAATAAATATAAAACCCTGTCTTATTTTCGGGGAAACACAGTAATTGTCTGGTCCTATTCTTTCCAAGAAGTAGAAACTGGAATTTTGATGTTTATGTGGTTTTTGATTCCATGTGACTTTGTTTTTTTGATTTTGATCCCACCCCCATGTCTCCGGTGGACCACTTAGAACTCATCCTGCTGTCAGCCTTCCTCCCATGCCGATGCTGGCTCAGTCCTTGCTCAGCAACCACCCGCTACCAAACCCATCCTCAGCAGGGATTCTTGGCCTGTTGTAGAACAGGGGCTGATGTACGAGGAATCATACAAAGTTGTACCCTTTTCCTTCTTTTCACTCTCTAATCTTTCTCTGTCCAATTTCATATAGTCACTTCCATGTTTCAGCTATCACCTTAAGGTGATGATTCTTAACCTTACACCTAGAGCTCTGGCTTCTCTCCTGAGCTCCAGACCCACACATCTCAACTGCCCAGTGCACATCTCTACCTTGATGGGCCATAGGTATCTGAAACATAATGTCATGGGTTGAATTGAGTTCCTCAAAAATATATATTGAAGCCTGAGCAATGTAGCAAGACTTCATTTCTATAAGAAATAGAAAAATCAGCCATGTGCAGTGGGTGCTAGTTGGGTGACTGAGGCAGGAAGATCGCTTGAGCCCAGGTGTTGGAGGTTGCAGTGAGCTATGATGATGCCACTGTACTCCAGCCTGGGTGACAGAGTGAGACCCTATCTCAAAAAGAAAAAAAAAAAAGATATGTTGAAGTCTTAACCCCCAGGGCCTATGAATGTCACCTTATTTGGAAATAGGGTTGATGCAGAAGTAATTTACTTAATATGAGGTCATACTGGAGTAGGGTAGCCCTTAATCTAAACTGACGAGTGTCTTTATAAGAGAAGAGACATGAGTATGGAGAAGATGGCCATGGCTATGTGATGACGGAGGCAAAGATTGGAGTGATGAAACGATAAGTCGGATTACTCAGGATTGCCAGAAAACACCCGAGGGTAGAAGAGGTGAGGAAAAATTCTCCCCTGCAGATTTCAGAGGAAGCAGGGCCCTGCTGACATTTTGATTTTAGATTTCTAGGCTCCAGAACTACAAGACAATAAATTTCTGTGGTGTTCATCTACCTAGTTAGTGATATTTGTTACAGCAGCCCTGGGAAATTAATACACTCATCACGTCCAGAGCTGATCTGAACAACCCCTTTCCTCATCAACAACCCCAAATTGTTTCCTCTCCAAAGTTCTTTTTTCAAATAATAGCATTACAATCTACAGTTTTCTCAATCATAAAAGCTAGAAACTTGGATTTATTTTATACTCTTCTTCATACTTCACATCCTATAAGCCACCAGATTGTTAACTGTATCCCCCATCCAACTTTCCCTTTAGCATCTTGGTCATTGCAACAACTTCCAAAGCTTTTCTTCTCCTTTTTTTTTTTTTCTTTGTCTTTCTTGTATTTCCAACTATTTATTTATTTATTTATTTATTTATTTATTTATTTATTTTGAGACAGAGTCTCGCTTGTTGCCCAGGCTAGAGTGAGTTGCCATGGCGTCAGCCTAGCTCACAGCAACCTCAAAGTCGTGGGCTCAAGGCAGGATCCTCCTGCCTCAGCCTCCCAAGTAGCTTGGACTACAGGTATGGGCCACCATGCCCGGCTAATTTTTTCTATATATATTAGTTGGCCAATTAATTTATTTCTATTTATAGTAGAGATGGGGTCTCGCTCTTGCTTAGGCTGGTTTCGAACTCCTGACCTTGAGCAAAATCTGCCTGCCTCGGCCTTCCAGAGTGCTAGGATTACAGATGTGAGCCACCACGCCCGGCCCATTTCCAATTATTTCTTAATATTTGCTACAATGATCTGTCCACTGAAAGGATGGCAGGAGCTAAACAAGTCAGCTCCGCCCCCCTCTCCACCTAGCTAACAGGTGCCCTGTGGAGCTCTGAACATCTCAAAGAAGCCCAGCAGACAAAAGGAAATGTAAATTTTTTTTTTTTTTTACAGTGTTAGACCTATTGACTAAAGCTGCCTTGTGGCGTCTGTTTCTACAGCCTGGAGTAGTTCCTGAGAAGTTCCTGGGTGACAGCATGGGGGACAATCTCCAGACATACCTTGAGGGCAAGGTCACCTTATCCCTAAAGCAAAGGACATGGATGCAGCAGTTTCACACAGCAGATTCCATTATCTGCCTGCAGCTAAGAGTAAGAGAAGGAGCTGATATGGCAATTCACAACAATTAACTATTTTTCTCTTCTTATCCATAAAAGCAGCAAGCCACTTGGCCTGGCTGCTGGCCTTCTCTTTCTTTGGGATGCCACACCATCTCTCTGCTCTCTTCCCCCAGCCCCCTTTATTCTCTCTGTCTTTCTAAAGGATAAAATAAATTTTACTTTTATATCCTAATCTCTGCACGAGAAATCTTTCTCTACCCACGCCGAGAGCACCTGCCACCAGGCTTTCCACCCTACCGTCGACAACGTTAAAGTACTTACAGTAATATTAGCTACCTTTTACTGAGAGCTTTACTTTGTGGCTGAAAAAATATGCTAAGTTCTTTCACATGCATTTGACCTTCACAACAATTTTAGGTGTTAACTACTATTATTATCTTCATTTTATGGATCAAAAAACTTGTGCCCAAGTTCACAAAGCTACCAAATGTCAGAGTTGGGATTGGAAGTCGTATTCACTCTTGTCACATTCTTTGTAGCACATCCTGTCACCTCCATGAAATAACAAAGTACTTGCACGGCACTCAGGACAACCCTAAGCTAGGCTTCCAGCCTTGTCAGCATATAGCTTCCTTCGCAACCTCTGTTCCCGGCACGTGAGAATACCCATCATTCCCTGCACATACGGGCTCACTTTCCCGCCCTGTGGTTTTGGGTGTGCAGTTCCTTCAATCTAGAAAGCCTGCAAGTTTTCACTGTCTGAAACCCTTCACATACTTCAATGCCCTCTTTCGCCAACACTCCAAGTCAAAATGACCTTTTCCTTCCTTCTTGAGAATTTAGGCCACTCCACCTGGCTTTAATAGCTTGTTGTTTGCATGTTTATTTCTACCATTGTCTTACCAGCTCCTTAATTCAAGGGCCATCATTTAAATTTGTCACTTAGTTTCCTCCCATCTTTTATAACAGTGCCTCAATAAATGGTTGTTGATTTGGATTGCTAATAACAGTGATAGTAATTGCCATAATAATGCCAGCAAGCCTTTGCTAGGCATTCATACTTAACAGTTTCAGTAATATTTGAAAAATAAACTTTTTTATTTAAAAACATTGTGTCAGTTTTTCTTTTCCCACAACTGAAAGGAAATTTCTTAATCTATTTACAAATTTTTTTTTCATGTAATACAAGAAGCTTCATTTGAAATAAATATCCATTGCTATTCAATTTGATGCTTCTGTGTGGTGGAAACTCATTTATTGTGTGGTAACATCCAAATCTGTTCATCATTCTTTAGAAATAAAATATCGTTCTCTATGAGCAGGCCAGTTAAAAAAAAAAAGAAAGAAATATAATGCTTGCATGGGTATGGGGAGGGTGTCCACTTTGTTTCCTACTCTCCACATGATGTTCCCTTTATCCCTGAGTCTTGAAGCATGTCTGGGCCGTCTGAGGTTGTGTCCCAGCTGGTGTGGACTCACCTGGTACCCTGTTACATTGCATGGTAGGAAGTCAGACTGAATTGGAAATAGTAATAGCACATGCACCTCACTGCCCTTACAGTTCTGGCAGCTTAAACCTAGCTTCATTTATTTTGGAGTCTCTGACGACTGACATAAGATCAAATTCCATACTTTGAGGAACCCAAAGAAGAAAATAGAGAAGAAACGAAACGAGCCCCATGAGAAATCAAGGCAGAGTGGACATCCTGGCAAAGAGGCAGAAAAGCTCTCTGCATAACTATTTAGGAGTCAGTCATGTGCAAATAATTAAACAAAATGGCTATAAATGTGCGTGCTTTAAAAAGGAACAGACTGAAGAAAATGATTAGGAAATAATTAAAAGGAAAACAGTATATTCCACAAAGCAGAAAAAATGTGATGAAAAATAAAATGATCACTCTTCCCCCTTGGAGCTTCTTCCCCCCGCCCCACTGGAAAAATATCCCTATTTCTGCCCATCATTTGAAATATCTAGAACTCTGGATTTATTGACAGGAAGTATATTTACCATCTAATCAGAGAAATCCTAAAGGGAAAGGAGTGCTGTACACATCAGAGGTACCCTAGAGACTCAGCTGTTCATAACTCTGCATGAACACGGTGGAAAGTGCCATATTCCCATTAAAGAGCAACACAGTTGGTTAAAGAATGAACAAAAGGCAGCATTTCTTCATTAGTGTCATTGCAGGAAGCTGATGCTATGAAAGCTGGAGGCCATCAAATGGGATATTGCAGCAATAAAACAGAATGAAAAAATGAAATGCTCCGTTCTGTTGTCAATCTCATATCCTTGTCTCTTTCTTTTTAATATACTAGGCACTACCCTGATAAGCTAATGCATTATTTGCAGTTTCGTTTTGTGCTTGGTAATTGTGCTATGGGCACTTATTCATTTGACAGCATTTGCTTTAAATGAAGGAAACTGGCAGGTTGGAAGAAAAAAACCCAATGTTGCCAAATCACCAATTAAGGAAACTGCCAGAGGGAAAACTGGACCTGGAACTGGTATCAGTAAAAATGATATAATGATGCTGCACTTCCAAAGGCATTTTGAAGAGACCCTTAATGAAGGAGATAAGAGAGGTGGATTTTAAGGTGGCTGATATACACGACTGCCAAATTTAGACCATGATGGGTACAGTCATTTCTGCAAAGTTTTGGACATCTAAACAACAAATGTGTCCATTTGTGCTGCAGCTGACAGAAAGACTGGCTCTCCCTCTGTAAATGGAGGAAGTCATCCCCAAGATCGATTCTGTTCAAAAGTCCCCTTTGCGAAGGGATGCTACCTTGGCAGGTAGCCATCCTGGCCCTCCCTCCTGGATCTCATACTTTTGCAAAGGAACAAGGAGGCACATAAGCTAATTACATGTAGGTCCAAAGGATGAAACCGAATATTCCTCTACTTTTTCCATTGAGTCTCTGATCAATCGCCTATCAGTATCAGGGTGGCCTTTCTTTCTCTAGCCTCCCTCCCTCTTCTTCCCTACAGGAGCCCTGATTTTGCTCAATTTCCTCAATTCTCCCCCACCCAAGACCCAGCTTCATCTGGAGGGACAGCGTCAAAGCCCGAATGTCTTGAAATTGCTGAACAAGCTTTAGTTCCTTTATGTTCACAATGAATAAGCCCATTCCCCCTTGTCTCTTTACACTATTTTACCAAAGATTCCCGTCTCAAGAAAGCGTAAAGGGGAAAAAGATGAGGGAAGAAAGCTCTCTTTTGCCATAAGAAACACGCACCAAAACAGTGGTGTGAAGAAAGTCATGTGAAATTACTGAGCACATGGAGGTGGCATGATGGAAGACTTCATGGAGGAGGTGACACTTACTGGTTAAGATGCTAGTGCACAGCGCGGTGCTATCTACCGTCAAATTACAAAATATAAGATATGACTCCTGTCCTGAAGAAGCTTTGAATCTAGCCAAGGAGAAAATATAAACACACATGTCATAAAAAATACCAAGACACCCTATCATTACAAGTTTTGTAATACAAATACATTGAAATTTTTGGAATATTTATTTTTCTGTTTCTGTGCTGAATAATACTAGGACCAGGCTGGGCGTGGTGGCTCATGCCTGTAATCCTAGCACTCTGGGAGGCCGAGGCGGGCAGATTGCTGGGATCAGGAGTTCGAAACCAGCCTGAGCAAGAACAGGACCCATCTCTACTATAAATAGAAATTAATTGGCCAACTAATATATATAGAAAAAATTAGCCCGGCATGGTGTCGCATGCCTGTAGTCCCAGCTACTCGGGAGGAGGCTGAGGCAGGATTGCTTGAGCCCAGGAGTTTGAGGTTGCTGTGAGCTAGGCTGACGCCACGGCACTCACTCTAGCCTGGGCAACAAAGCGAGACTCTGTCTCAAAAAAAAAAAAAAAAGACTAGGACCAGACAAAAGTAACTTAGCTGCTTGTTCCTGGAAAGACTTGTTTCTGGAAGACTGTGGACCAGCTAAAATAGCTTATTTACCAAGACTAACAGCTTGCTTGTCAGTACTCCATTTAAGACCCTTGCTTTGTGTGGTCATCAATCCAAAGCTCTCATGTCATAAATGCTGCTCAATCCCAACTAGTCCTCGGCCTTGCAAGACCCGCCCTAAGTTACACAGCTTTGGCCCTAAAATACTAAAATATCCTCTCCTAATTTCCCCCCTCTGAGACAATACTTTTCTTTATTGCAGTGAGTCTAATAAGCTTTGCTTGATCAAAAGTTTTTTTTTTTTTGGGGGGGTGGTCTTTTTGGGGATTGACAGTACAATTTAATAAGGTTTTCTAAAGGTAGATGTCTGGGATACGTGGCAATCTCTGTAGCCATATAGTTTGTGCATAAATACTTTCTTTCTTTCTTCTTCTCTTCTTTCTTCTTTTTCTTTCTTTCTTCTTCTTTCTTCTTTCTTCTTTCTTTCTTTTCTTTCTTTCTTTCTTTCTTGAGACACAGTCTCACTCTGTTGCCCAGGCTAGAATACCATGGCATCAGCCTAGTTCACAGAAAGCTCAAACTCCTGGGCTCAAGAGATCCTTCTATCTCAGCCTCCCAAGTAGCTGGGACTACAGGCATGTGCCACCATGCCCAGCTAATTTTCTATATATTTTAGTTGCCAATTAATTTCTTGTATCTTTAATAGACATCTCGCTCGTGTCAGGCTGGTCCTCGAACTCTGACCTTGAGCGATGCTCCCACCTCGGCCTCCCAGAGTGCTAGGATTACAGGGTGTGAGCCCACCACGGCCTGGTCCTTTATTCTAATGGGTCTGAGTAGAAGTAGAAAGAAGGCAATAACCATGACCATGACTGAAAGCTCATCTGAAGCACTAATAAAGTGCTGGAGCAAAGGGAAGCATTAATACTCGAGGTGCCCGGAGCCCGTAGGGTGGTGCTTCTGTTTCCTGGTGGCACCAGTGATGTGATGGACCGGAGCTGAGATTTGGATTGGGCTTTGGGCAAGGTTTTGTAATCTCACCTAATTTCCTGGGCTGTATTAGCCAAGTTTCCTCCTGGAAAAAGTCCTTAAATCACGTCAGTTCCTGGGGATCAGACACACGCCGAATTGTGACAAACTTAAGGGGGTGGAGGAACACTCCAAGGGAGCTAATTTACAAAGAGAGAAAAAATTAAATAAAAAAAAAAAAGAAAGAAACAAAGAGAGAAAAAATTAATCCAAAGGTAACAGAACACATGGGACAAGGGATGGCACCTAGGGTCCGTGTATTTGTAGCCCTGGGTCCTTGTCCTTACACAGGCCCAGTCACCCTGGGGGCATGCACAAGCTCAGGGAAGTGTGCAGAACTAAAAGAGCCACCTCACCCGACTCAGGGACGCCTCCGGGCCCAAGCAGCCCTGCTGCGGGAGTCCCCTAAGGCGGTGAAACAATGGAGGAAGTGGCACATTCTCTCCGGTGGAATGTGCCGAGAGGGACACCTTAAGACCATACCAGGAGACATGCTTTCCCCATTCCACTGGTTGGGACTCGCTCCAAACTGCACAAAGAAACAAGGTGTCGGGGACTCAGATCCCTGAATAATCGTGGGGAGGAGAGCTGCCTGCCAAGCAGGTCAGTTTACAAGAGAAACGAAGTATTTTCCTTGAGCCGTTGCATTTCTGGGGTCCCTTATCCCCTTATAAACTGTAAAGTGTCTTATAAATGTGTTATAGCTGCCACAAAATCAAATAAACCATCAATAGGAAGCAATGATTCTAAAAAATTTAAATTCCTCAACTGTCCAGTTGAATTACACAGCCTAACCTTACTACTCGGAGCAAATTAAAGGAGGATAGTAGACACAGGTTGCTATGTGGTGTTTGGTGTCAACCTCTCTTCCTATTGAGCTGTCCGTCTTCGTCCTCTGGGGAGTCCTGAGAAGCAGTGACCATAAAGCCTGGGGGCCACGTCCCCCCTCCTCCCTGCTTTCTGCCCCATGTCCATTGCGCTGCAGAGTGCAGAGGCAGGCTGGGCCGTGCCTGGGGCCTGCGCTTTGCTCCAGAACAAGAACCTTGACTGACGCCTCCATGGCAGTGCTTGTCTAGCTCTCTCACAATTCTGAGCTCTTGCCGTGGACACTAACCTGGAGCAATTAAACAGTACCTGTCCCCAGAAATCTTTCCCAAGTTCCCTTCATTTACATGCCATTTCACGCGAGTCCTCTCAACAACCCCGAGAAAGCGGTTATAAAAGCATGGTCTTGGCTTTGAGCAGCAAGCAGATGTTGTTTGGGGAAATAGAATATGCCAGCTCACGCAGGGCACACAAGTACCTCTGACTGGTACGCCTGCCTGGCACAGCTGGCCCCTGGGCACTGTCTCGTCTTGACCCAGGGCTTTGTCAAGCCCGACCTTCCTCTACCCTAAAAATCTGCCTGTCCTCTGCGCTGCCTCCCTGGTGTGAGCCAAAAGTACTTGCATTTTCACTGTTGGAAATGAGAGACTCATTTCTTTGTATTTCCTAGGAATTATCTTTTTTAAGATGCAAAAAGCCTTGGAAGAGAGGTTGCCTTCCACACGTCTCATTGTCACCTAAGCCCTAGAGTACAATGAGGGTCCACCGTGAGTACTGGGGGAGGGGCCCCCGGAACACCTGCTCATAAATGACAGAACTGGGACCGGAGCGGTTTTTCTGCCCTGTGAAGCTGAGACATGCCCTTTCTATTGACCACACTCGGTCCAGAGCTGAGGAGGACACGAGTCAAGAGCACTAATTGGGTCCCCTCTCTGAAACTCCCTCCATTCATTGCAACTTAACCTCCGGAGAGAGCAGATTTTTGCTTCAGGTGCTTTTCTGCTAGTCAACATTTCCCTGTTTTATTGTCTCCTCATCAAGATTTTCTGTCATTGAGCAGTGCAAATGACAGAACCTTTCCCAACAGCTTCAGCAGGGGGAGGCAGCTGAAGGACATAAGGAGGGCAGACCCCCATGCAGTAAAGGACAGACACTTTTTTGTCGCTGACATTGCTGTGCCCTCCAAAGACAGTTGCACACACCCTTCACCTCGGATGCGAGCTCAGCCCACCTACTCCCGAGTTTATGCAAAACACGGCACAGTCCCCCTGTGCTTTGGAAACAGAAATCTTTTCCTTTTCCCTCAACTTTCTATTTGACACACTTCTTTCAGCTTCTGATCTTTCTTGAAACTCCCCCTGCAGCCGTAGGCCTTGATTCTCCTGAAGATCAGTTTCTCCTCCCAGCTTATCTCATCATTTGATCTTTCTTTTGAGACAAGTGTCATTTACTTCTTTAGAGGGGAAAGGAAGATCTAAAAGAATCTTGTTTCTAACTCACACTTTCACTTTGTTCTCCATCAAGACTGAAATTTCCTTATTAAAGGACAACACTAATCGCACAGGCTGCTGCCGAGACTGTAGGCAGGTGCCTGGAAGAAGGCATTTTGGGGAGGTAGAACCCGAAATGAGCTCTGTAATAGGTAGACCTGGATCTGGAGCCCAGTGTGGCTACTCACGAGCTGTGACAATATGGGTTAATTACTTAATGACTCAGTTTCCTGCTCTGTAAAATGGAGATAAAGGCCCCTTTCTCACAGGCTTGCTATAATAATTAAAATATAGTTTGTTTGTTTGTTTGTTTTTTGAGACAGAGTCTCACTCTTGCCCAGGCTAGAGTGTTGTGGCATCAGCCTAGCTCCCAGCAACCTCAAACCCCTGGACTCAAGCAATCTTTCTACCTCAGCCCCCCAAGTAGCTGGGACTACAGGCATGTGCCACCATGCCCGTCTAATTTTTTCTATATATTTTTAACAGTCCAAGTAATTTCTTTCTATTTTTAGTAGAGATGGGGTCTCATTCTTTTTCAGGCTGGTCTCAAATTCCTGAGCTCAAAGGATCCTCCCGCCTCGGTCTCTCAGAGTGCTAGGATTACAGGCATGAGCCACCACGCCTGGCCCAAAATATATACTACATGTTAAGTACCTTAAGCTCAATAACTATAGTTTCCCTCATTCTAACACCCTGTAGACAAAGAATTTGGAGGGTGTAGTAGCATTGAGACAAACAATACTGTGGTTTAGTTGCCTGAGATGTGGTCCAGGAATGCTTCTGTTGTAAAATATAAAGAAACATTACAGAAGAGATTGCACCCTCCCCTTTAGCTCTTGGCTCTCAGGCAGTAAGATGCTGTCCTCTTACTGGGATCTCATCAAATGAAAACAACAGTGACAGCCTATTTCAAATTCACCACAACTGATGTGCTAACAAGTTACTCTGCAGTTATTCAAAAAACTTAAACTATAAAACGTGAACCTGGAGAAGAGAATAGAATGTGATAATTTACTTCTTTATTTTTTTGAATTAAAAAAACAAAAACAAAAACTTCTGGATATGCCATGTACTCAGTTGTTCTAAAAAAAAAGAAAAAAAAAGAAAAAAAAACAAAACAAAACAAAAAAAAACTTCTGGATAACCATGTTTGAACTCTTCTAAATTAAAATACACTTGCATTTTTATCTTGGTCTTACCTATAAGATAAACTATGTGTTTCCAAACAGTCCAACATTTGGCACTAGTCTGGGCCACTTTGCTATACTTTGTTTGACTAAGGAATATATAAATATCAAA